ATTCACTCGCGGATACAGAAATTTGATCAAGATGGCTTAGAAAATGCACTATATTATGACAGTAGTCTCATCAGGGAAGTGAACAGCATTTTCGGGAAGAAGCTGCAGATTAAAGGTGCCGACCCGCAGTTTTTTCTCGAGGGAATTAGCATGATCTTTGACTTTTTGTGTTTCAATTTTTTTTTCGTTAATTTCATACATCTCTTTAGGTAGCGCAAGAAATGCGCTATCTTTTTTATCAATACGCTTAAGGCAAGGCATTAGTTTTATGCCGAATCACAAGTGAAAATCAGGAATTTCACAACGTACCGTTTTCCTTTCATACAGAAATATAAATTGAACACAAAACCAACGCCTTCCGCAGAAAACACAAAAAAACGCACATAAAAAGCAATGTAGGCGAAAATTTTAGCTCTATCAGAATCATATAACTTCACCACAAGAAGTAATATATAGCAAAGTGTCGGGACTCACCCAACTCAGGCGCTTTCCTCCACAGCGAATTGTGGACTTAATAATTTGAGAATTAAAACGGCAATGCGTAAAATTGGATCTTCATCAAGATAATTAATATGCTTTAAAATAATTTAATGTACAGGCGTCTTCATTTTCAAATTTGGTGTGAACTATTTTTCTGAGGCGGGATCACAATTATAGTATTACTGCCGGCTGGTAATTTAGACAAGTTTTGGTCCAGGTTCGTATTAGGACGTCTTTAACATCCTTACCGTTGGAAATTTGTAGTAATTTTGGCGTCGTTCTAATCTCGAAATTTTAGGCAACAGGTACTTGTTGAACTTGGGTAAAATTTGATTTCCTCGCCGAGTTGTTAGCCAAAATGTATTATTGGGTTCAATTTTTTCGTTTACTGGTTTTGTTACTTTACGAGCAAAAGTAATATATATAGAGTTTACTGGTGAAGAAGCGCTGCAGTTTCAACTTAACCAGATGGAGCATTTAAAAATTCCATAAAGTATAGTTTGTACTGTACTTCGCTTTTCCAGATGGAAATATCTTTTAGCCAGTAATTTGCGTTTATCCATTGTTTTTACGCGCGTTGGTAAACTATTTGTGGCGGTTCTACGTACGGCAAGGCGCCTACAGTGTCCTGTTTCTTCCTTTCAGGAACCTTCTACTTACTGTGTCCTCGCTTATTACCTACAACCCATCTTCCGTCTTGCTGGCCCTGTAATCCTTGTTTCTTTTGCTTAAGAAACAATTTTTCGCAAGGGGGACCGGTGAACAGGCTTTGTTTTTTCAATTAACGGGAAATACAGCAATCAGCCCAGAGAAAAAATACTGAATGATTTGCTTGAAAACTCATTGGGAGGAAAGAACTCAACTAAAACAAGATTAAAATCAAAGGAAATGAACAGCTAAGGAAAAATATAAAATTAATGAAACTAGGCTTGAAAAAAAAAAAAAAAAA